CTGCCGTATTCTTCATCTTTCAGAGCGTCCTCACCCTAGCAACAATTTGAACAAACCTCATTTCTGCCGCTTGCATCAGGGATCGCAATCGTCCGGGCGGGATTCAGCACCCAATCATCATAGCTGAGGGAGGGTGCATAAGATGGAAATGTTAAAGACAGAGGGAGTTCGCCTACGGTTTGACTATTTCTTTATCCCAGCAAAGCAGCTCAGCTCCCGCACTACTGCGTTCGTTTGATCGGTTCAATCGCTGATCTTCAAGTCCAACCTATCGCTACTCAAATAATATGTCGCGGTACGTCTCCAACTGTCGGAGCTCTATTGCATTATCCTGTTGGGTACAAGAGAAGGACCTTTTCTGAAAGTAAAATAGCCTTTGTTTCCGCGGTAAAGAACGTACCGGGTCCATGTCAGAGTCAGAATGAGAGAAAGTAACCGTCACGAGACCATCTGCGCACAACAAGTTACTAAGTCGAATACTGGCAGAAATCAGCACCCTCTTCAAATGACCGGACTTCTGATCAATAGTATAAAAAGACGCTGAAATTTGTTTTACACATGTTGAAATATCTTTTTTAGACAACTAACGAAGCTATTATCAGCGATGATAAAAAAAGTCTCAAAATGTGTTGCATCTGCAAGATTTTCTTTTTTCAACACAGCAGCAATTATCCCGGAGAGCCGCTGCTACACTACCCCTCCAACATTCTAAAATTTGAACACACAAGGAAGGAAATGAATACAATCGTGATTCAAAGATATATATATATAAGACCCAGCTTCCGCTAAACACTTCGTCTCCTAATAACTATAACAAAAACTGAACTGTCTGCAAGGCATCGGTGAAAACGACTTGCGGTCTCGGTTGCATATTGAAAAAAAAACTAGAGGAAAGTTAAACTATGTTCATTTGCCTTCATTACAATCAACAAATGGCTACTTGTCAAAAGTCATTCAAAAGGATATAAACTTTCAAGCACGAACTTTAATTATGGCTGCAAGTTTTGTATCAGCAACCGCCAGCGTTTCTTGAACTTCAGGCAGTACCCATTTTTTCAACAGTTTTCTGAGCGCTTTTCCAATTTTACCGTCCGCCAAAGAACAAGTGGCTAAAAAGAACAAAAAGTGTCACTTCAACACATACAGCTTATTACAAGTACACAAGCAATGCATCTGATCAAATGCAACAGCACTGAAAAAAACAAAGAATACAAAACTTGGAAAAAGAATAACAAAAACAACTAAACTAAAGGAGGCTAACATAAAAACCAAGCTGTGACTGATGGTAAGCACAAGTTACAACAGGTGGTTTGTACGATAGAACCGTTACGCATTCGTTGGACACGCTGTTGGACATTGGCGCGAATTTCGCAGCAAAGACATTAGGGTGCAAGAGCTAGTTTTTCTTTCTGCTTCTCTTTAAAGCCTGTCGATGATTCGCCTGAGAACCTTACAGCAACGCTCAAGTGTCCCTTCTGCGAGTTTTTCAACCGTACGGCATTCCAAAAGCCAGACGCTGGCTGTTCAGAAGTCCAACAGCTTGTGCAGATGGTAAAAGTTCCGATCGTTCTGCCAGCAATGCGAAGATTCATGAACTGTGAAATAGCGCCGTAGCGTGTGTGGCAAAAAGTTTTTGCCCTTAACTGAACACGTCATTCTAGGTCATTATGAAGAAAGCTACAGTATTGTATATTAAGCTTTTGTTGCCCTACGACTGAAACAGCTAGGTGTTTGAAGTATTTTCATGGGGAAAACTAAGCATATAAAGCTGGACGTTGAAACTTGGTTATTAAAATAAGATACAAAGCGATTAGCAAGGAAATAGATGATAGGAGTAGAGTACATTAAATTTAGCCAAACATGCGATGAAACTACAATGTCAATCATAATTTCGTGATGCTTTGCTTGTTTTGCCAATATCTTTAGTGGTTTTGCGAAACTGGAGACTGCTTAAGAAACGTTACTTTCGCTCATCTCAGATTTAACAGAAAAATTCCATGTTAACGCAAATGCGGACCAGACGTAAAGGCTGAATCTAAATCAACGCGGGATGAAAGAAGACACTGAAGAAACAGTACATTAGTAGACGCTGTAGATATCAAACACTGAAAACCAGCGACAAACAACAGAAACATCGGCGTCAGCTCCTTTAACGTGAGGAAAAACAGTTCAGGATAACAGAAAAAGCGGTCGCCAACGTTGAGAACAGTGATATTCTGTGGCTTCTAAAGACCATTAAAATCAAAATCCAGATCGATAACAAAATGAAAATAGTAGCATGGCCATAAATTCATTCGATCTCGTCAAAAACTTTAAAAGCAGCATTTTATCAAATCCATCAAGGATGTAGACAAACGATCACAATATAAAGTACTATGAATCAACGAGTTATATATTACATGAAAGAAGTTCGACGGCAATAGCATTTCATCCAGTATAACATTCAATATAGTCTTATTCATCATCGCCAACAGCAGATGACGAGCTCCCAAATGCGTCCTGCCTCCCAAATGGTCAACTTTTGGAATCCATAGCTTGCAACAGACCAGATCAGATAAGAGTATCAACTGAGTTCAGCACCGTGAAGCTTTCTACTCTCAGAAACAGAATCAATGCGTCGTCCCTATCAGCAACAATGGGCAACAACCAAAGTAAAATATTGCATGCCAGGGAAAAGTACCATTAAGGGAACGCTCCTGCCCAGATAAGACAGCCGTCAACACGTGCCATGAACCGTAGACTCACGGCTAACAAGGCATTAGTGATAACCGCCTGGAGAGCTGACGAAACATTTGAATCTATTAAGGTGTTTCTATATAAGCATAGCACGTAATGATCACAAATATGACGGAAAGGTTGGGAAGT